ATATATGTCTTATACAGTGAGTATCTTACCCAATATTATTAATATAAAAAACTTATTTACTTAATTTCTTTAATTTTTATAAGTTCATCATCTTGTTAAAAACAAAATTCTTAGGCAAATTTAAAAAAAAAAACATAAAAATACTGAAAGATTAAGAACTGATTTTATCTCTCAAACATATTTCTCAAAGAAAAAAATACTTTATCTATAATTCATTATACATACAAACTTTTATCAAAATCAAAATTGTCAAGATTAGCTCAATCTCCTTATAAGATAGTACATGATTATTCGTAAGTCATTATAGAAATATTTGGATATCTACAAAATTAACACAAATGAAGTTCGTCATTATACCTGAAAATATAAAAAAAAATTTTACATCATTATCATCATTTTTAATATTGTAATAAAAAATATACAAATAAAAATTTTTATTCTCACAAACTGTAGAAAAATTCTGCCATCTTTTTATATTTTATATTCTCCTGATGCAAAATCCCAAAATTTCAAAAAATTTTAAATTTCAGAAAAAATTTCACATATCATTTCTTCTCGAATTTTTTATTTTTTTATTAGATTGAGTATTTTAGTAAAATACCTAAAAATTCTCAGTTAAAATGCAAATATATATATCTAAGATATATACAAAAAAAAAATATTAGAATCTTTTGTTGCTTAGAATGAGTTTCTTGTTTTTGTTATTTCATTCGGTAAAATGTAATACAAAATTATCATTATGATTTCATTATGATTTTGAAATGAAATATAATCATTTTTATTTTCATTTCTACTTCTGATACTTAAAAAAAGTTAATGATTCATCATATCAAAAATTCTTATTGTCTTAGTTATATTATGTCATATTATAACAAGTAAAACCTAAAAATGTTTATTATCAGAATACAATGTTTTCAAATAAATTATTTCTTCTTTTTATATTTTTAAATTAATTTATTATAAATTAAAAATTAGACGTACCTTCAAAAATATATTGTAAGGATTCAGGATACAGAATATTTTTCAATTTTTGCGTACCTATGTTTATGATTTCGACAATTACATATGATTAACATAATTGTATTGCATTGATTCTCAATAATAAATGAATAATTATTGCTAAATTTGTGTGAGATTTATTTATAATCGAAAATTAATTTTAATCGTATGTTCATAACCTAATCAAAAAAACATTATAGTATCGATATATTTACTTACACGTATAACATGTACAATAGCATTTTCCAATCACATTTATTTCTACGAGGATATGTTCTATTCATTATTCCTATTCCCATTACATATAATTTCCAGATTATAATTAACGTATATTCTATTCGTTTCGGGTTGAAAAATTTTTAACAAAATGTATTTCGCCTAAGTTATACAAGATTCGGAAAATGGGATCAGCGCCATCTCGCGTTTGGATCATCGAAGCTTCTTTTTATTAGCATAGCAGAATATGCAAGAAGGTATTCACAGATAAGCTCCATCGATTCAATTCTAGAATATCGATTGAAAAATTCGTCAATAATAATTCATTTTTTATTTAAAATTTAGGCAATTTATAACTCATATCTTAAAGCTAGAACTTTAAACAAATTTCTCGTATCAATTTTAATGAAAAATTCATTTTTATTAATTATTTATTAATGATTAACGTATCATGTTTTAATATATTGAGAAGCCATATTGAAAATTTATAATTTGATATTTTTAAATTTGCATCTTCAAATAAGAATTTTAAATAAGTTTCTCGTATGAATTATAATATAAAATTTATATTTATTAACTATTTATCAATGATTATTATGAAATGTACGTCAGTTACGAAGTTATTCATTTCGTAACAAAGTAATGAAATTTATTATTCATTTAAACAACAGAAAAATTATAAATAAAATTTATATATGAAAATAGAAGAAGAAACAATGTTTCAAATGCATATAATGATGTTTACAAAAGAAGAAATTCCATATCAATGAAAAATTAATAAAAAATTACGTATCAAAGATACGTTGACTTGATATAACACATTAATTCTTAATAAGTAATTAATAGAAATAAATTTTTCATTAAAATTGATACGAGAAATTAACCTGGAATTCTAGCTTTAAAGTGCAAGTTTAAAAATTTAAAAATTTTAAATAGAAAACTAATTATTAATGAATCTTTAATATATCTTAGACCTATTAAAACGTATGACATGTTATTGTTAATAAACAATTAACTAAAGAAAAATATCATATCAAAATTAATATTAAAAACATGTCTGAAGTTCTAACTTTAAGATCCGAGCCTAAAAATATCGAAATTTTAAATAAGAAACGAGTAATTAATGAATTTTCAATATGGCTTCCTATGTAGCTCTTCTAGGCAAATATTATGCGTTAATCGTTAATAAATAATTAATAGAAATAAATTTTATATTATAATTGATACGAGAAATTAGCTTGAAGTTTTAGTTGCAAAATGCAAGTTTAAAAATATCAAATTTTTAAGGAAAAAACGAATAGTTAATGAATTTTCCATAGAATATTTTCGACGTAGTAGAAAGTACGGTGCATTAATTATTAATAAATAATTAATTAAGAAGAATTTTACATTAAAATTAATACGAGAAATCAGTCCGAAGTCCTAGTTATAAGTTGCAAGTTTAAATGTGTAGAAATTTTGCATAGAAAACAAGTAATTAGTGAATTTTCCATATAGTATCCTCGAGGTGGGGGAAATGCTCTCTATCCTTTTCGCACAATATTACTTTCCTTGTCTATGACGTCACAGGGATTCGTATACCTCCTTGCATATTCTGCTATGCCAATAACAAGTCGGAGCTTCGGTGATCCAAACGCGAGATGGCGCTGATTCGAAAAATTTTTCAATACCTAACTTATCGACAAAATATATTTTGCTTATAATTTAGAAAATTAAAAGAAGGAATGCAATAATAATTTAAAATACTCGTTTAAGGAATATCGTGTAACGTAAGAATCTATTTTCAAAATTAACAGAGATGTTTGAAAAATTAAGGAAAGGGAATATTTTTTAGAGAAAAAGGAAGGATTATTCCAAGTGTTAAAGAACATCGTAATCTTAGAAAACGGGAAAAACAAAATAGGATCTTTAATCATTCCGTCGAAGACGAGTAGGTATATTTATTAAATTTATAGCATCGGCCGATGGCAAAGTAAGCAAGTTTTACGTTTCTCGTTATCTATCCGAGATACGTACGAGATGTTTGTGCCATTATCCACTCGAGGCGTCGCGGGAAAAAGTATAATACGAAAATAAATACACCGACTCGCTCGTCTCGGTTTCTTTTTCCTCGTCTGGGAGGAGAGAAGTTTATCATTTTGATGGGTGGCTCGTTGAGGAATCTAAGTTAACCGATGCGGGAAAGGGAAATCTCGGGGACTTTTGCGGCATTGTGCTTCGCACGTGATTCTACCGAAAATAGTTTTTCGTCTTTGGAATCTTAACGGATCGATGCCTTTCCAGATTTCCGTGTTCCTTTTCTATTTTTAAAAGAAAAAGTCAAATTTTGTAATTCTATAAACGAAAGTTCGACTTTTCCCGATCTCGATACGTTGTTTCGATCAATTCGCTCTTTTAGTAGAGAAATTTGAAATTTTTAAATTTTACTTTTACGGCATAATACGAATAACAGAGAATTGAAATTTGGCTAGATATTTCAATATTTCGATGATTTTCCATATCGTCACATATATATTCGCGCATGATCGATTCTACAAACGGGTGACAATCGTACGATTGATTACGTCTAATCAGAATTAATACGGCGTAAGGGAAATACCAAACGGATCGAGCAGAACGAAACGAAATTTCATACGTGGTGAAATTGAAGAGAAAAATTCGAGATGGAAGGTATTAAACGCGGATGCACGAGATAGGCGGTGCATTACGTGTACGCAATTCTTGCGCATCGGGATACCGTTACAAAGAAAAACATCGATTTAATGGAATATTTGCCCCTGCGTCTGTCATAAAGGAGCTATGCATTCTTTCGTGGTATTTTGCGTCGCGGCATTTTTCCTCCTTGCTTTTTCTCCCTGCGTTTTCGAAATT